CCTGTATTTTTTTTTTTTAAACTGTGAGATAAACACTGGGCAGGGAGTGTGTGGCGATATCAAGCAGGCTGGTTTTAATTTGTAAAAAACAATCGGACATGTCATGTATATTTTTGATATCGAAATATTTTTACAGTTAATAAATTTATATTTTTTTATTTATGTTGGGAGTTTCTAATTTTAATATATTGTCATAATCATTACTACTCCCACATTGATCACGTCGGGGTCACCAATGTGGGAGTAGTAATGATTATGACAATATATTAAATTAGAAACTCCCAACATAAATAAAAAAATATAAATTTATTAACTGTAAAAATATTTCGATATCAAAAATATACATGACATGTCCGATTGTTTTTTACAAATTAAAACCAGCCTGCTTGATATCGCCACAGTGTGTGGCGATATCAAGCAGGCTGGTTTTGTTTTGTAAAAAAGAATCGGACATGTCATTATATTTTTGATATCGAAATATTTTTACAGTTAATAAATTTATATTTTTTTATTATGTTGGGAGTTTCTAATTAAATATATTGTCATAATCATTACTACTCCCACAATCTAATACTTTGAACAGTAATTTCACTTTCATTATAGATATATTTGTATAGATAATATTTCATTGAGAATTCATTCATTGCAGCACAAAATCGTCATTTTCACTTGAGAATATATTAGTGGTCTATAATCTCCAGTGGAAAATTGATACCATACTATTTGATATCGAGGTGGCCGAGGTTGGGATCGAACTCGGAACTAGTTAATGCTAGTCCACGTTTTTACATGCACCACGACAGGATTTTATAAACATACATACATGTCCAGTTTTAGTGAATTATTATTTCCGCCGTTAATTCAAATGTGCGAAACATATCATTGTTAATATAATGAAAAAATGTTGTCGCATTGTTCTTATTACCTTATCATATTTCTAAATTTTCACATATCAACCGAGCAATATAATCATAAAAGCATAGTTATAAAACCATTGTTTCCATATAGACGGCAACACAACGGTGATACGAAAACAAAAGTTGTTTGTTTATTTTCGTCGGATCCGCGTATTGTTTTGTTCATTAATGAACCTTGGCCTCCGATGTAATTTATAACACGGTTCCTCGAAATAGAATTTACACATATTAAGCTCATGTGGCAAAATTTCAATTGCATGTGATACACATCTGAAGAAAATATACAATTAACTAGTGGTGAATGGCATCGTGCATTAAGGCAATTTGCAGAAACTTCCTGTACCCTAATTTAAAATTTTTAAATGCTCAGAAAAGAAAAATTTTTTTTTTAGAATCTTGAACATTTTTGAAAATTTTTCAAACATTTGAAAAAAAATCCTTTTTGAAAATGCTGATATTTTGTGAAAACTTATATAAAATACTGTAGTTTATTCTTTCAAATTAACTGAATGATTACTTAATAAGTGAGAGACTTATCCTTAACCTTTATTTTATATTTTATTTCGCAGCACATCTTTATTCAAACAATGATCTCAAAAATCGTTTGAAGAATGCTATTTCATTTTGCGCAGTCTTAATTGTTCAATCCATAAATTGATTGCGTCAAATTTATTCAGAAATTTTATATCGCCATGTGTTTATTACACATCGCAGATGCATGCTTCATGACATTGTTTATTATATATAACCAGATTTGTACTCATGTTGCGTATTTCGATTAATTTGTTGAAAGATAGTACGCAAAATTGATTGCGAATTCAAAGAGAGAATTGGTTCCAATAAAGTTTGGAAACTTTAGAGTCAAGTTGTCATATATATAATCAAAATCTCATTATAATATTCGAAAAATGTATATGATTTAACAATATCAATTAATGCCTGTGAGCAAATTCTAAAATGTACTCAGATATCACATATCTGATCTGATATGATATTTCACGAACTATGATTTGTATTTTTGCTTGAAGCTATAAATTTTAGAGTTTTGTCATCTATAAAACCACATTAAAAAGCATCACAAGCTTATAGGATTGCTGTAAACACTATAAAAAATCAAATATTTGATGTAAATCGGAATTGTGTAAATGTAGGCTTGCAGATGCTGTGAAACCGGTTGTTATTAGCTTATTTACATTGCGAGCAAATGCATATTCCTAGAGTATTTGCATTTATGCAACTAAATTAAAATCACATTGTAGAAATATTCATTTTAATAATAATTTCACGTTAAATTTTGATTACTGACTTAGTTACTTTTTTCAATGTAAAAGATAATTCATATGCAAATTACAATATATGCAATTTTCAACAAACAAATCAAACATATTAGACATGCAAATTAATTTTAATAATTCCAATTTTAGTCGATTATAAATTATTATGCCTAAAGTATATATCACGCGTAAATACATATTGTATGCTCGCAATATGAGGCTAAGAAATACAAGTGATCTGATACTCCTTTTGCTTATAAATAGTTTTAATAAAGCCTTCTAATTATAATCTAAACGCTACAGGAACGGGAACATAAACAAATTTATAAATACTTAAATATTTTTAGAACCACTTTGTCAATTAAGAAGCGCGAGGTATATAATAAAACAAAACTAAAACTTTGGACATATCTTAAATATTTTTTTAAGAATAATTTTAATAATTTCTTTTTGATTGTATTCTAAAAATGTGATAAAATTAGGGCAAAAGATGAGTAATCTGATTTTATTATTCGAGCGCGTAAGTTCTATCGAAAAAAATTCTAGGATTATCCGGTATTATATTTCACATTTCTTGAACAAAGATTTTTTAAATAAAATGAGTATAAAAGTGTAATAAAGATAACTTTGCATGTGTTAAATATATAAATATTAGGTGCGCATCTAAGTCCTCGCTGTTTGTCAGTATATGGCTCTAGCAGTAAGGGTTGGTCGATTTTGACAAATCCAAAACGTCATGAACCAAGCTTAGACATATGACAAACAAACTTATGCTACACACATAAGTGATTTAGTTTTTGCAATATATACTTCTGATCAAGTGAAAATGTCTAATGTTATGCCAAACAATCGTCATTTGCGGGAAGTGTTGATTTTTTTCTTTCTTTCATTCGAAAAAAACGGCAGCTCAAGTGCATCAAGAGCTACGAAAATGTTACTCCGAGTGAAACAACATGCCGTGATGCGTTTTGGTCGCTTCAAAAACGGTGATTTTGATGTTGACGACCGCCCTCGTGAAGGAGGGTCCAAAATCTACAAAGACGCTAAATTGAAGGCCTTTCTCGAAGAGAATTCGTGCCAAATTCAAGAAGAGCTTGCTTCAGAATTAGGATTACCCGCCAAGCCATTTCCAAGTGATTGCATGCGTTGGGGATTATTCAGCAGCAAGAAACTTGGGTTCCTTGTGAGTTGAAGCCATGAGACGTCGAGCGTCGTTTTTTCGCCTGTGAACCACTGCTCCAGTGGCGAGAAAGGAAAGGTTTCTTCATCGCATCGTGACAGGTGATAAAAATGAATACATTACAGCAATCCAGGGAAAAAAATCTCGGTTCGGCCGAATATTCACTACGAAGGTTTACTTTGAATATTGTGGGACCAGGTCAGTGTTATTCATTATGAGCTGTTGAAACCGAGCGAAATCATCACTGGAGAACTGTATCGAAATCAATTGATGCAATTTAGCCGAAACACTGCGCGAAAAACGGCCAGAATACGAGCAGAGTGATTTTACTGCATGCCAACGCTCAGCATCACGTTTTCAAGCCTGTTAAAACCTACTTGGGAACGGTCAAATGCATCAATCCTACCCCACCCGCTATATCCCCAGATATTGTATTGTCCGATTTTACTTGTTCCGTTCGATGGCACATGGCCTGGCTGAGCAGCAGTTCACTTATACGAAGACATCAGAAAATGACTTGATTCGTGGATAGCCTCAAAAGACTACCACTTCTGACGTCAAGGTATTCGAGCTCTGCCAGAAAGATGGGCAAAAGATGTGTCTAGCGATGGGAAATAGTTTGAATGAATCAGATGTAATAGTTTTTTTTATAATAAAGTTACATTTTCATCGAAAAACAGCGCGAGAACTTAGTTGCGCACCTAATATTATTTTGCTAAAAGCAAGTAATCAAAAGCAAATTTATTTTTTTGCCAAAACTGCTCAGAGGATGAAAATATCTTGCAAAAAACATATTGCGTTAGATTGCACTTAGTTGTTAGTTATGGCAAAAAAATCTTATAATTCATGTAATGTATATTACTTCTTGAAATAATTAAATATTATAAAGCCATGATATGTAGAGCATGTTTTTTTGAATTCTTGGAACGTAACCCCTCATTTTGTACTAATCTTTGCCCGATATAGCACGAATTGGCACAACACGCTACTTTTTTGGAACGTAACTACCATGTTATATGGGGGTTACCTGCATGTGAAGGAATTTTCATCGCAAGAAGAATCTCAACACATTACCAAATTTAAATGCAAACATTATATTCAATTATATTGTTATGCTTCAAACAATTTGCCACATTATTAAGTGTTTAAGCTTTGATTGTTAAACTTTTACTGTATGACTCAAATCATGTATCCGAAATATATAAAATACCATTTTAAAATTAATTTAATCAAAAATAATTTATTGTACAATTATAGAGTAAATTGTTGTACAAATCAATTATTTTTCTGTTGTTCATAAAATTGTTGAACAAATCTATGGGCTTTATCGTAATGTGGTTAAGATCATTGCGCACCCTTTCCATCCATTGTTTGAATATGGGATGCATTTCGGATGGATCAAGCCCTGCTATTTCTACAATAAAAATCATCGTAGTAGTAATAGCATCCGAAATAACATGACATGAACGCATTTATTGAAATATGAAAATTATTTAAATTTCGTTTAATTATTAGTTTGATAATAATTTTTCAAAACTTACTCGGTTGTTCGGCCTCGCATGCACCTAATACATCAGCATTGATATTTGGTCTCCAGCCATGTATGTCCTGTCTTTCAGCCAAAGATTTTCAACGATTCCAAGCGTCGTCGCATCCTTTGCTCACTTTTTTAATTTCTTCGGGACTTGCAAATTTACCTGTTTTTAGCGGCGTCAAAAACTGTTAATAATAAAATTTTTACAAATAATTATAGCAACCCAAAAAAATTATTTTACAATACTTATTATAATAATAGAGCAAGAAAAGCATAAATATTATTTTACTGAACAGACTTAAGTGGTCCTCAATTAAACTTCTATACTTATATAATATTGTTATTTTCTACAAGTATGCTTACTCAAAATAAGAAATATATTGTATTTTTAACTTCCACAATATGAAACACATATGTATATTATAATATACATACAAATATAAATATAAACATAGTAAAAAGTCATTTAACTATACCTTTGTTATAAAATACATCCCGCAAGGTAATCTTAATCCGATATGCTGCCATTCCAAAAATTCATCTACCAAAGCTTGTTTTTGTGCCTCTTGAGGATACCAGTGTTCTTCTATTGGATATGCTTTTGATAAATAACGTAATATTGCAACACTGTATAATATATCAAACTATCAAAAACAATATTTGTTACATTGAATAATATATATATATTTAGTAAAATTATAGACTGCTCAATGTTGCTTTCTGTAGAAAATTTATAAATGCAATTTATAAATTAAATCATAGTTTACAAGCAATCTACACAAAAGCATTCTATATTATTATTGCAACTAGATCCTTATTCAAATTTCAAAAAATTTGAAAAACACTTAAATTTATAAACTTCTTTT